AAAAAAAAAAAAAAAAAAAAAATCCTTAAAAAATGAGGATCGTACCTGAAGCCATTGCTGAAATGTTTGTAGCTTTAGGGAGCATGATGGGGGAAAGGGTTGTTTGGTCCTCTAACACAGTGGTTCTTAACCTTTTTTTGTATCGGGACCCATCTGTAAACAATCCTGACCCAATGCCCCTGCCCCTGGACCCCAGTCTTCTCCCTGAAGCATGTGGGGCAGGAGAGGGTATGTGTGGGGCCTGGGGGGCCCCCAAGCAGCCCCTTGCAGGCTGGAACTCTGCCAACCTGCAAGGGAAAAGCCATGTTTTCCCATGGTCTTTCCTTTTAAAGCAGAATCCATTTTTTAAGTTTGTTCATGACCCTTTCATATATTCTTGCAACCCATTTTTGGGTTGCGACTCATGGATTGAGAAACACTGCTCTAACGTTCCACAGTGATCTGTGTTTCCTACCCCACTCCCTTGGATGCTCTGATAGGGAGAGAGCAGAGTGGACAGCCAGTGAACTCTCTCCTGTGAGCCTGGCTGTCCTTGAGGATCTCTGAGGGCCAAGAGGCATGCAAAGAATTGTTTTTTCCAGCTTTGGGGCTGGAGATCAGGAATCCTTGCATGTTTATCGGTCTCCCTATTCCTGAGACTGAGGAATGGGGCTGGAGAGAACAATTTCTTCGTGCCTTTTGGTGTCTGAAACCAGGAGACAGAGTGTATAAGATGGTGTTCATTGGCTGTCTGCCCCATTTTTCCTTTCCCTGGGGCAGGGAGCTGCAAGGAGTGGAGCCACAGGGCTGAGCAATATTTTGTTGTGCCCCCTGGAGAGCTTGAACCCCTCTGGTAAGAGGGGTGCAGTGGGGGGCTTCAAGTCTATTCATGGCCTGGAGGGCTTCAAATTTGAAATGCTCCAAATTGGAGTGGAATTTGGAATATTTCAAATGTATGTCTGTCCATGGCCTTTATCTGTAATGACATCTATTTAGCATGTAAAGATTTCAGGACCAAAAAGCTGGTATTCCTATTTACAAAGCCTCAATATAACTTGGTGCTGTGTAAATAAATAGGAATTTTATACATAATACATGACCACAAAATTGATAAGCTATTAGGAGTTCCTGTGATAAATCTTTAACTGGTATTTTGTAAATGTCTAGGAATTCATTACATTATTTGATAACATTTCAACAGTTTTTAAAAATGTGTTAAATGTCACAGTTCTCGCACAGAATACAATTCCATTTAAATTATTATATTTTCAACATTCTTATGTTTAAGATGGGATTCAGGTTTACTGCTAGCTCCTAAAACTTGATGAAGGTTTCTGCTATCATTTTAAAAATGTAGGGGTCAGTTAGTCCAAAAATATCTACAAACTTCTGGTCTGCTTAAACCCTAGAAAGCTGCATGTGACTGCATTTGCTACTCAGGAAAAAAAGGCTTGAGTGCTGTCTAAGGCTGTTTAGAAAGAAGGAAGGAGGGAATGATTTAGTATCATTACCCAGAAATGAACAGTAAACTAAGAGGCAGAGTGCTCATGCACTATCCCTCTGACAAAATAGATTTCTCTTTCTTTCTCATCTCCCCTTATTCCCCCCTGGCCTTCCCCCATCACTGTGTATAAGAGGGCTTTAGGATGAAGTTTCTCTACATGTGCAAATGGAAAAATCAGTGTAGGCCTCTGGGTCCATTCCCTCATGCTAAAACATATTTTAATGACTAACAAGAGAATGTTGTCTTGACCAGTCTCCCAGTAAACATGCTAAATTAGATTTCAGGGCACTGGTATTAATTTGTTTCAGGGGGTTTGGATAGGGAAGTTTGCATGGATTGAATGTATTATGGAAAGGTGTTCTACTTGGACTTGAAGTTTATGCAGGGCTGGCCTAACACTTAGCACAAAGTGCTTACTTGGAACGACAGTAACCGGGGTTCTGACTCTTATCCTTCTGAGGCTGCAGATAGATATTGGGTGCCTGTACATGAGCATGGAGGTTGCTCCAACTGCTGTAACTACAATGCACCAGACAGACTTGATTAATCCTATCATTTTACCATCAGACCTGATTAACCAGGTCTATGGAAGCATGGTGATTACCATGCTTCAGCAGCGTCCCATGTCTCATGTATCAATGTCCTCGCTATTAAAAATGGTGGTGGGGGCACTTGTTGAATGAGCTTTAGTTCAAGCATCCCCACAGCCATTTTTAAGTGCAGGGATCCTGATGCATGAGATGCTGCAGCACTTTAATTAGAGTGGCTCTTGGAGATGTTCTAATTAAAGCTCCCTCCCTCCCCCCATTCCCAGAGCATGTGTAAAAGTGCCTATTATACTTAAGGAAATTTGCTAGAACAGTGAGGAGAGAAGGGAGAAATCCCTGGTGGATTTGTGTCCCTTTGGTGTCTCAGAAACTGTACCGTATAGATATTTTGCAGCCATAATACCTTAGATCAGGGTGGTCAACCTATGGCACGTGTGCCATAAGTGACATAGGTAGCTTTTGTATGTCACGTGGCAAATCAGGTAGGGAACAGACAGCACAGTGGCAGATATGGCAGGAAGCAAAAAGCAGAGAAGCTGATTGCACAAGGAGCATGGGTTAGAAAGCAGAAAACTAAACAACAGATCAAACAAGGAACACAGGGCAGAGAGCAGAATGAGAGCAGCCAGTTGGGCAGGGAGAAGGGCATCAGAATGGCTCTTGAGGAATGTGTAGGGCTAACTTGTGGTAGGCCTGCTAAAGAGATTGGCCTGTGCTGCCTTAGCCAGGGGCACCAACGTTGCATCCAGTAGGCCAGATATGCCATTCAGAGACTATCATCTGGCCCCCAGTGATGCCCCTAGATCTGGAGTTGATCCACATACCACACACTGGGCACAGGGTCTGGGATGCTTGTTACACATGGCACTCACTCTGGCTGACCCTGGATCTGCTTTGTGAACAGCACGCACCCCACCTGCTCTGGGTCTTGTGCTGAATACAGTATCTTCCTGAGCTGTGTCTTCCAAGATGTGCTGCATGCAAGACCTACTTCAGCTGGTTTGGAACTACAAAGTATGCACCGCCTTCCCTGGCTGCTCCAGGGCCATTGCTACATGCAGCATGGATCCTGGACAGGCTAGAGTGGGCACTGTGTGCAGTACATGTCCTGGACTGGCCCTGCATGGGCATTGCATGTGGCATTGTCCTGGACCAGTCAGAGCAAGCACTGAATGTGTTGGATCTAGCATGTGAGGGGAGGGATGGGGCCCCAGGTCCAGGCCCGGATCTGGCTTTCAGGGCTGTCCATGCACCATTTGTCTGGCCAGTGGACTGGCCCTGTGCCACTGCTCAATCTGCTTCTGGCCGGGTAAGTTGGACACTTCTGCCACCTTAGATCTTATTTTTTCCCTTCCTTGCCTCCCCAAACTATCTTATTTATGCCATTAAGTTAGCATTTGTGGCTCTATGTCCAGCTGAGAATTTTGAGTAGGAGGAACTTTCAAGTGGCATAACAACATCTTTTCTTGGCTCCCCTAACGTCCCTCGGCTCCTGATGTAGGGTATAATGTAGAGAACGTGGCAGAACCCACACTTGCAATTCTTCCTGTTTGATCCCAGTCAGGGCCATAGTTAGGTGCTCTCCCTCACACATGGGTATGCAGAGAGGCCAATTTCTCCACTAGATTGGGAGCTCTAAGAAGCTTCTCAGCCTTGTCTGTTCCTGTGCTGATCTCTATGTAGGAATTCATCTGAACTTAATGTCCCTTAATTTCTTAAACATTTGTAATGTAATATAATACAAACTCACAACAAAGTTTCATGTGCAGGGCTTTCAGTGATTTTTATGCCAGTTATTTAATTGTGCAACATTAACCCTATGCTAGTATTTTCATCTCAAAGCATTTCTGCAATGCTGTCCAGTATACATTACTATCTTTGACTCCTGACCATTTCTTATCTTGCATGAAGGGTTTTTATTTTTTTTCCAAGTGGTAGAATACAGGTTTCTTATGCAGTGGTAAAAAACTGAAAATGTTAAAATTCCTGTTTGTCTTGAATCTTTCTTGAGCATCCTTGCCTTTTTCCTGAACCATTAGTTGCCTGTTGTATCAAGAAACTCATTATGATTACAGTTAACTTAGCACCAGGATATCACTAATTGACCAATGTAATGTACAAAACTAATTTTTCACAGCTCAGGGACATGAGTCATTACTTTATCTTGTCACTAAAACATTTACTTGACTTGCTTAATTTTAAAATTATCATTATAAAATGAAGATGAATTAACAGTGCACATTTCAAGCTAGAATAAATTAGTCTTTAATAAGTAATTCTCTGTGTTCAGTTCCTCTTGTCATACTGTATGGAGGATCTGGTACTTCAAAGCAAAGCTTGAAATGAGTTCTTACTCATAAATGATGTGTTTTTTAGCTTATTGAAATAAATGGATTTATATGGAAACACTAATCTTCATTTACTCTTTATTTTGGAAGCTTTTGTGATTCTGATTTTGTTTCAATATTTTTCTTATGTTGCTGTCTTCAAGGATTTGGTGAAAATCCACAGAAGTCTAATGCTGGACATTTGTGACTCCATTGTTAATAAAAATGACCAGAATTTATATCAAGTTTTTATAAAATACAAGGAAAGGTAATATTTATATACTAACTTTGATATATCTTAATAATAACTTGCACTGAATCCAATAAAGCATCTCTCTTCATTTAAGCATTCCAGTTTTATAAAGCAAGCAATTTATAGTAAAGAATTGAATTCTTATGTTATGTAGTTAATATTTATAAAGTGTTTTGAACATGGAAAACACCATGAGAGTAATAAGTATTATTATTTTGTATGTTTTTCCCCATGCATATTTTTTGCACTTGGTACCTTTACCATCATTTTGAACAAAACCAATCTGCAATACCACCTAAGCCATCTCAAATCCTCTACTGAGTTAAACAATACAGTTACAGACAGACTATAGCTTAAGAGAGGAAAAGGGCAAGAGAAGTGCAGTGAGGCATGAAGATACAGGAAAACCATTCTAAATGTTAGAAACAGGTGCGAAGATTGTTTGGAGGGAGAGAAGTTGAGGCAGGGTGGAGAGGAGAGCCCATGGGTTTGTGTATGTTACACTCAAAAGTTTGACTCAGGCTTGTGTGTACACTTGTGGATTTAACCTAGGCAGCTTGTATACTGATAAAACTTTGAGTTTCATTGCAGCCTCACTGCATATTTCCTTATCTGTTTGGCTGGGTTTTCAGTCCCCCCTGAGCTTTTGCTCCTCTACCTATGCTATTATCAGTACTTGAGCTAGCTAATTTAAAGCTAAACTGATATGTCTACCCAAGCTTTGGTTACACCTTACACTGCGGGCTAGGCATATCCCAGGTGAGCCCAAAGAAAATATTAAGAAAGTCACCTTTGAACCGGGAATTGAAAGTAACAGGCAACTAAAATATTTGTGGTACAATTGAATTGCAGTCAACAGTATATTTGGGAGAAAGCAGGAAACAGAATATAAAGTGCTGGAAAATGGAGAGCTTTTTTTTTAGGGGGAAGCAGTAGGGAAGGGAGTTGTCCTAGTCAGTCAGCAGAAGTAAAGATAGAGAGGAACTCTTCAGTAGGGATGGGAGGCATTGAGAGAGTGATGGTGCAGGGTGATAGATGATGAAGGGAGGGTATAGTAAAGGGTGATTATTGGAAGGTTACAGAGGATGAGGTTACAGTGTGCAAGGCACCAGGAGGACAAGGAGCTGTGTTTGAAGATACTGCTCTCCTCCAAGAGAAATACTGAGAGGTGTATAACTTGAGGGAGCTGAGATGAAACTATAAGTTACAAATTACTTTGTCAATGCAGGGGGAGGACAGATACTCCATTATCTATACTGCAGTATTGTTATTAAAATAATCATGTTGAAACAGATGTGCAGGGCCAGTCAGTACAGTTGCGTTAATAGTGACATGCAGAATAAATAGAAGATGATTCAGAGGTAGAAGAATAACAACACAAAACAAGAACTGAAGCTTGTGGTAACCTGGAAGAGGGAGCTTGTGGTTAAGAGGAGAAGTCACCCTTAGAGATTTAGAGCAATTTGAGAGGAACAGAAAGAACTGTTTTAAAAGGGAATAGAAGGTTCTTTGTATAAAGCCAGATTCTTTTGAAGTAGTTTTGCAGAAATTGGCCAGCAAGCACCATGCTGATCTGATGGCTATTGAGACTTTCTTGAGTTTATGTGTGTTAGCTATTATCTTGACCCAAAGGCTCACAGACTGTAACTCAGTAGAAGCTGTTTAATCATTGTGTGAAACCTACTGTTGCTGTAAAAGAGTAGATATAATTAATCCAGTGCTAATCCTATGTTACAGCATTTATTCATTACATCCTTTGAAATCTATCTCTTAACATTGTAAATACTAATGATTTTGTTCCATTAAGCAGCAGTTACCTTGTTTTACAACCTTATACAAGTGCTGTATTATATATCACAGCATATATGCATTAATGTTAATTTGAACTTGAAATGATCTGACAGTATTTTGACTGTGATGCATTAGTGATGGTCTGAAATGTTTTTGAAATGTATCCTTGATTATATTCTGAGGGCAGTACTATGATACGTGTGAAAGGGCAGATTCTAACCATGGGTACGTGGGCACAGATCCCACTGAAGGAAAATTGTTACTCATGTATTTGTTTGTATAGTGTGAATAAGGATTTGACTGGAATAGCATCCTGTTTATTTTTTCCTGTTTTGACTTAGACTTGTCATCTATGGGCAGTACTGCAGTCAAGTGGAGACAGCCATATCATGCTTAGACAACATCTCCAAGACAAAAGAAGATGTTAAGTTGAAGCTAGAGGTACCAATATTTATCTTTGTGTTCATATAAGTAAATATACTGCTTCTCTGCTCCAGACATGGACCCAAAAGATATCCGTGATTAATGCAATCTATTCCAGTGTGTGGGTCTGAGTTTTTAATTTCCTTTTCCTTTTAATTGGACTATCTGAGGGGCTAAACTTGTCAGGCTGAGACACAGAGGCTGGAATTTTGGACTCATTGATGTCAGTAGCATCATGATTTTATTTAAGAAATGTTTGTCAATATAATTTCTTTATTTCCCCTGGAATCCAAGTTGAGAGTGAAGTTAGTTGAGAAAATAGTTACAGATTAGATTGTTCCAGACACACATCTGCCCAAGGGGTGGTTTGTAAATTGCCCCACTTCAAGGCCTTAAGGAGGAGCTTGGTGCTTCCAAAGGCATGCATGCTTTTAAAACCTAATGCATCTTCCGTGGTTTCAATTACTATTTTTGTTTATGTTGATAGTGTCTGATTCAAAACAATAAAGCAGCTAATTTGTTCCCTGTGCCTAAATATAGTATTTATTCTATGCTTATCACCTAGCGTGACTAATACCACAATAATGGAATCCAGTTCCAGATACTGAATTCTCTTAAAGATGGGAATATTCAAATGTAGTATATATCTTCAGTCCATATCACTGGTTGGTCTGTTTGTAGGCCTAATGTGGTCCTGTGGTTTGCCAGAGCCCAAAACTGGTTATCTTCCAGAAGGGCTGCAAGACCTTTTTACTTGGGTAGGTATTTAGCAAGCAAGTTAAGTTGGGAGATTTGTTTGGGGAGTTTTTGTTATGTAACTATGTCTCTTATTTAATATTTATTTTGCTTTTATAAGGTTGTTTTTTTTCCCCCTGTAAGGCACCCTGAGCCTTTTTTGGAAAAGGTATAGGAATCTAATCAGCCAATAAATATTTCTCCCCCTTACAGTGATATTTAGTCATCTGAATATTTGAGACATCTGGCTGGCATTTATATCAACTTTAAATTTAGTGGTGTTGAATTTGGTTCTTGTTTTTACAATAATCTTATTTCAGTCTTTTTGTTTTTAATTTAGGAGTGTTCCAAGAGAGCTAATAATGGGAAATTTACATTGCGGGATCTCCTAGTGGTTCCTATGCAGAGAGTTCTAAAATATCATCTACTACTCCAGGTACTTTTATTTTTGAAATGTAAAGTGTTTGAGCACAAAGCTATGCTAGCTTATAATTAGCAGGTTGTTATAATGAGTATTTAGGCCTTTATCACAGGGGAAGTGATTGACATATTTATAGTCTTGAGCTGAGACTTGCTTGTCATGAAGTCCAATCCAGTGCAGTGTAGCCTTTTCTGTGGTGATTATTCCTCACAGCTGAAGCATATCTGAAAAGAATACAATCAGTTCTTCAATATCTGAGCCTCTTCACTTATTGGTGTGTTTAAAATTGTTAGTGCTGCTGAGCTGTTGAGCATAGTGGTCTTGAAATGTATAGGTTTACCCCCAGAAGACTGAGCTGAACAATACTAGATCATAGTCTAAGATGCTACCTTGCTATAATAAATTATAATAAAGCCATATTTATTTTGAAATGCTTCTTTTTATAACCCACAAAGCTTTGGCTTTCACAGTTAGTCCTATAATGAGGGTGCAGAGTCTTATAAATTTAATTTGATAGCTGTGCTAGGAGACTCATTAGTTCAGCTGCAAAGAAATGTATTACTGTATTAGACTGTCAGCCCTGCTGATGCTTGTAAAATGTCATTTTAAAAAGAGCTACTACTTGTATGTGAAGCATAATTTTGACTCTGCAGTGCGTTGTGTATATCCCATGTATTAAATTTCTTGAAATATATCTGTATAAATACAAGTCATCAATATTTTGATCAGCAGAAAATCAGGTGTAAAAAACCCCAAAATTGATAATAGAACTACTTTCTTGAAACATTTATGAGATCTGAACCATGGCAATGTTATCAAATTGTAGATTATGAAAAATACGATATATTATATTACTTGTATTTTAAAGTGTGAGGCATTATAACACCAAATGGAAAAGGAAGAGAAGTCCTTTTACATCTTTGCAAGTTCAGGGCCTCCACTAAAATTGCTAGAAAAGCATATAAGCATTTATTCTCTTGTTTTTCAGAAGCCTAGCAAGCTATTACATTAGTTAAAATGTATAATCTTAACACGCAGTCAAGAATAAATAACTTATTTCCCTTTGGGATTTCTTTTTCTTTCTTTCTTTCTTTTTTTTTTGCTTTTAAGTAGCCCATAATTTTCCAGGTTGCAAATGGCTTATGGATTTTTTAAAGCTAGGAAATGGGTAAAAAATATTCTTGAAATATTTTCATATTATTTAAAGATATGTCATTTGAATTCAGGTCTGTAAAATAGTATATAAATGCAACTAGTTTTGAGTATAATGAGGTAGTCACTAGTTTTATGTACTCCCACTTTTTAGCTAAGATTTTATTGCCCAGTATATTCCTACTTGACCTTTGCAGACAAACTCAAGTTTTGGAGTTGATTATCCACTTCATTGTTAGCAACATGAAAACCCAAAGCTGAAGTCAACACAATTTTCAGTAGTAACAAGCGTGTGCAGAGAGGCGCTGATTGGGAGAGTTTAAGTTGCCAAATAGAATGAGCTTTTAGGTTTATAAGAAAGTAGGGCTACGAGGCACCTCACAAGGTCACAGCAGCACGCTCGAGGCAGGATCATCCCTGACTAAAAGCATCCTTGCCAAGCATCTGTCTAACCTGCTCATTTATTTTCACAACTTATTTAGGTAGCCTTAAATAGGTCTAGTTTTTTCTCTCTTTCCCCATAAGTCTTGCTTCCCAGGCTCTTAGTTATTTTTGTTGCTCTTTGCTGAACTCTTTTTGGCATGTCCACATCCTTCTAGAAGTGTGGGACCTAACACTGGACACAGTACCTCAGTTCTGAATATAGCAGAAGAATCACTTCCCTTGACTGGCAAGTGACACTCCTGTTGATACAACCCAATATACCAGTGGTTTTTTTGTAACAAGAACACAGTGTTGGCTCCTATTCAGCTTACGGTATACTGTAATCACCAGGTCCTTCTCTGCAGTACTGCAGCGTAGCCAAATGTTCAGTTACCCAAATAGAATTAGCTTGTAGCTAATTTCCCCATTCTATATTTGTGTATCAAATTATTCCATCCCAAGTGCAGGACTTATTTTTAATAAGACTGTTTATCAATACATGTTAATATTTAGAACATCTGGTGTTCACTGTTTTAAACAAACATCACTTACCTAGCTGTGGTAGTGCTAGTTAGAATCTGTGGTGTGGATAGGGAAATACAAGGAAAAATGAAAATGTTGGGGCCATGCTATTTATGTAAAGCAAATCACCAGGTTGTTAGGAGTGATCACAGTACAGTAGACCTTTTATTTAAATGAAAAGTATATAAACTGATCAGCAGCTTGTGTGTGAAAAGCTGTTATATTCTGTCAATTAGGAGCTGGTGAAGCACACTACTGATCCAACCGAGAAAGCAAATCTAAAGCTAGCACTTGATGCAATGAAGGTAAGCATGTCATTGCAAGTACAAATATACTGCTTTGCCATCAGTTAAAATCATAAGCGTCACTTCCAAGAAACACTAATATGATTTTAAGTTTGTTACTTTTTTCTTTTTTTTTTTCTTCTTGCTGAAGGAGGTCCCATTTTCAAAAGAGGCTAAACAAACACGTATGTGTAATGAGCCACAAACTTTGAAATTAGATTAAAGCAAGGATACTGCTAATGGCTTTTTCTTAAAAGATTCTATATCAGGTTTGGCAATTGATTTGATACGTTTTATTTGGTATGGATAGAGTTGCATGAGTTTCGCTTACTTCTAATATATTAACTTTTACATAATGTTCCCTAGTTTTTAGCCATCTAACCAGATGAAAAAAATACATCTTTCACTTGTCAGGCTCCTTGTGCAAAGTTGAGTAAAACTTCCATTACTGTAGGTCATCTGAAATTTTGATCAGCAGTTTCCCAGTGAGATGAATGCAGTTCTCTTCACCGCTTAGTTTCTTTTGACTTAGTTTTTATCTTTGTTGCCTTAAGCTAGAAGACATGAATATTTTTTCTGTGGTCTGAGGACCATTACTGGACATGTTATTGCAAATGGCAAGTGCCTTATAAAATAGCGATATCACTTTACATGTTTTTGTGTCCCTCTGTATTATGCAATTTCCTCTGCATTTGGCTTTGCTCTTTTGATTCCTTTTCTTCAGTTGATGTACACAAAAGCTTACTGATAGTTTCAGTTTTTTTGCAAACTGAGCAGTATACCAGGTGATTGTTCCATTTAGCATGCATTTCATAAATATTATTTTCTCCTAAACATTCCAGTTTATGCATCTATATAGAGCAGAAAAAGATAAGTGGAAAATGTACTAATGTACTTGATACACAAATATAAAGGAAGAGTGACACTGGTACTGTGAATAACAGTTTTCTAGATAGCAATATCAGAGGTGTAAGAGCTATATGCCAGCCAGACATGCTGTTTTGTACAAGTCCAATTGCATCCAATTACCCATGCTAAGCTAGCTTTAATAGGTATCAAGACTCAAGGCCACCCCCTATCTTCTGAAATGTTCTTTCAATTTAGGGGAAATCTGGACAATTTATAGCCTAATCACTGGTTTCTGTAGGTGGAGATGATCTTTATTTTCTTATTAACTTTTTTTAGTTCAACTGATAGCAGCTATTCTCCAGGCCTGGTTGACTTTGGCTTAGACCAAAAGCGTTGTTTCCTGGAAACAAATGCACAATATAGACTGAATTCCTGTTAACTATAGTCTGTATAACTCATACCAGATGTTGAAAGTAAGTGCTGTTGTGCCTAATAGGATTGGCTCTTCATATTGATTCATACTGCTCTAATGCCTGGAAACCAGACGGAAACCCAAATGAGACTTATGGCTTACTCTTCCGTCTCTCAGCTCAATATGTAGACAGAGAGGGGAAAAAAAGAAGAAGAATAAAACAAGGTTAACAACAGTTAAATTTATCTCTGTGACCAAGGTCTATGTCTTTAGGTACAGAAGGTACTATCCAACAGATGTGTTTCCATACTATAAGCCTTACAAGCATGATAGAGGTTACTTCATGATATAAAGAAGCCAAGGGTCAAACTCAGAATGTGCTGTTGAGAGCATAGCAGTAGTAAATTGACTGATGTGACATTCTGTTTTGACCAGTTCCATTAACATATGTATTGCTATGGGCTACCACTAATCCTCGCTCAGTCTACTTTTTTGACAGAGATGCGTCTGCAAATTGTCCCTATTGCTAAAGCACATTTGAAACATTATTAAAGGCTCTAGTGAAACATGCACAATATATCTGTTGAAAAAAGTGACCTGCAGTGGGCAATAACAACCTTATCCTGTGGTTTCAGGTATGATATCCCATTAAGGGTCCTGTGGTTAGTGTGCTGTTCAATATTTTTTCTCACCCTACTACACAGACACAGAGAGCAAGAGCATGGACTGTTGGGCAATAATTCTTCTCTCTAATACACATGGACACATACAATAACCCTTCTCTGTATGTTGCTTATGAACCTGCTTTCTACTATGTATCATATATAGCCCTCACTCCCAAGACTGTAGTTCAGCTGTTAATCTCTGACATGGAAAGTTATCAGATGCTCTTAAAGATCAGGCTACATACAGTAAATTTTAAATTATATTCTTAAAATTCCAGAAACTTAGGTAAGTTCTACTTTGGTACTTCAGTTAGCTCTCATTGTTGCCACTGAATTTGGGCCTCTGAGTCAGATTTAAAGATTGCAAAAATTTGTAAGCATGATTAAAGATGCACACAGCATTTATTTACTTGTATCTTAAACTAGCATGTCAACAACTGCTCAACATTAAAGATAAATAATTTTTCTTAAAGGGCTTAATGTCCAGATAAGGCAAAATCAGGATTATAAATACATTTACTTAAAATAATATATTGACTTTTTTCTCTTATGGAAATGTTTTCTCCCCCCTGTTTAGGACTTGGCTCAATATGTAAATGAAGTGAAGAGAGATAATGAAACCCTTCGTGAAATTAAACAGTTTCAGTTATCAATAGAGAATATGGTATGTTATATTTTTTGTTTACATCTTTTTTCACCATTGATTTAATTTACTGATATACAGTGCTCATTGCTGTCTTGTATAAGGCCAGAACCACTGGCAAAATTTAAGCATGCATATGTGTCATATCTTGGCTGGCTTGGTTTGTTTATTAATCTAAATAATAATAATACATGCATATAGTGATGTCTTTTCCCTTGTCTCTGAGACTGCAGACAGCTAACATTATGAAGTATCTTTGTGGGTAGTATCTTGGGAGAGAAAGGCATTTATTTATGTTTTATCTTTTCTTATTGGAGCATACTGACCAAGAGGTACAAGTTCGTTCTGAATTTTAGAAAGTCTGGGTTTTGTAGTATAATGGCTAAAAATTTGGCAGGTACTTGTTAAATAATGAATGTAATTTTGCTCTTAGAACCAGCCTCTGTTGCAGTATGGAAGGCCACAAGGTGATGGAGAAATAAGGATAACTACACTAGACAAACGTACAAGGCAAGACAGGTAAGAAGATATGTTGGTTTGCTAAATACAGAACTGGTGTTAGTTCTTAAAATTTATGCTGTGACATTTCTCTGTTTAAACTTGGGGTCAGTTCATAAATTCTTGGGCATAGTTCTCATTTTACATGCATAGCATCTGTTTGCATTAATGTCAAGCAAGTAAATTTTCAAAGTGGTTCCTGGGAAGTTGGCCATTATACTAACATCTAGATCCCTGTGTACCTCTTTGAAGAGCACTTTAAATGGTTCATGTTTTGTTACTCAGTAGTTTAATTGCTAACTTTCAAAACCAGAAGTGCTCCATGCTGAGTTTTATAAGATAGTGTATCACTTTAAAAGGACTACTATATTACTTTACAATCAAGATTTTTAACCTTTTATGTATTATATTTTCATAGGCATATCTTCTTATTTGATCTAGCTGTTATTGTGTGCAAGCGACGAGGTGATAATTATGAAATGAAAGAAATAATAGATCTTCAGAAATATAAAATCACAAATAATCCCACTACTGATAAAGAAAATAAAAAGGTAAATGGCTTTAATGTTATTTCAAGAAAAAAAATGGAATGTCAAATCGGACTGAAATTTATCAAATGCTGTGCAAACTTACTTTTGAAATTTATATGTAATTTTTTCCCCCAGTATTTCAAAGCTGTAAAGTACATGGTATACTGGGATTTAAAGTGGGTCACCATTAAAAGGCTCTGGTTTTTTTGTTTTGTTTTGAGCCATTCCCAAACTGTACAAAAGTACTTAGTAGTAATGACCTCTGTTTTTTCCATGTTACTGAATATAAAAATGCCACCTTTTTCTTGCTGAATTTTTAATTGCTAATCTGTGTACTTCTGTTCCTTTCATAAAGTGGTCTTATGGCTTCTACCTCATCCACTTACATGGGCAAAATGGACTTGAATTTTATTGCAAAACTAAAGATTTGAAGAAAAAGTGGTTGGAGCAATTTGAAATGGCACTGTAAGTATATTTTGCCTACTAAGTAATATGGATGTCCTTAGCCAGCATATAGTAATAATTAAATGCTACAGCATTGGTTTAATATGCATTTTAAATTACAGTAAATTTTATTGAGGTCAGTAAATTATTTTAAGAGTCTGAAGAAAAGAACTAGAGCTACAAAGCAAAAAGAATATTTCCTTGAAATTCTCCCAGGAAAAGGAAGAGGGCACTCTAGGCTGTGTATTGTTTTACCTTAGCTGCTATGATTGTTGTAGTACATTCTCAAACACCCAGGGAAAATATTAATTGTTTTAGCAATAAATATTTAACATAATGGTAATGCATTTTTTCATTTTATCTTTGTAAATTGAAATACATTTTAGGAGAGATGGGGATATTGGCTTTTTTCCTAGTGGCTTTTAACTAATATATTGTTTAGCATTTGGGTCTGGTTACTTGGTTTATTAAGTTTGGTTTCAAAAGCTTGATTTCCTCTGTATATTTTTAACTAAAAAGCATGAATGTATTAGGCTTCTTAAAGTAATGTGTTCAGATGTAGCACTACAGGTTGCATTAGTGTTATGTAGAGACCAGCTTTATTTTATTTCTGATAGTGGTTGGAAAAAACATGATTGTTGATTCTGATTAAATTTAAAAGACAGGAACAAAGAAATCAGATAGTTTAGAGATGGTTTAAGTTATATTAAAAATGTGGATGAGGTAATCCTAGCTATGATAAAATGGGATAAAACTAAATGTTTTGGATGTTATTTTTTGAGTTGATAAAGGATATCTGGGATGTTATAAGCTAAACACCACTGAAACGTGTGTATGGTATCGCCATTCAAGATTTTTGTTGGAATTATTTCCTTTTGAATGAAACCCAAAGGTTTAAGTTGGATTGGCATAGAAAGCATACAAGAGGGAAGGCCCTACTTGGTACAAACTTATACAACCCACTGTAGCAATCCAGGAATGGCATGTGCTTTTATGGGAGTTATACCTGGGAGTCATAGGTGAGGAATAGAGAGTCTTATCCATATGTACATAAGAAGCCAAGCACTTTGCCTTTTCATGTTCATGGCTGTTTCTCCTTCTCGCCTGCATATTTTGGGGAGGAAAAACTGGCACCATACCTACAGGTTGGGGAACGCCCCTCTTGTCAGCACAGAGGCGGAAAAGGATCTTGGAGTCATCATTGACTCCAAGATAAACATGGGCCGGCAGTGTGGGGAGGC